ACGCAGAGATTAAATAACTCTCAGGCTTCTGCAGGCACCCAGCAATGTGAATTGTGGCCGGGAAAATCTCTCATGTAAATAGGCAGCAGGGAGGGAGAAGGGACATTAGCATGGCATCAGGAGGGGTGGAATGTGCAGGAAAGAGGGACAGGAATTGATGAGCAGCTTTGGAGGAGATGCATTCTTTGGGGCAAGACCGAAAGCTGATGGGTGGCTGGAAGACCAAAGTGCTCTATGGCAGGGAGGATGCTCCCAAAGATGAGGCAGCATCCAGCTGCTGCCAGATGTTCTTGGGGTGGTGGCTTTGTCTGCATTGCTCTGTTGGCCTATTGTCTTGGGCTATAGGGGATCCCAGGGACGTTCTTGCCTGGTGTGTTTGTTGGGAACGTGCTGGATGAATAGGGCTCTGTCATACCCTGGAGGACATGGAAGTCACCTCCTGGAGCCACCGTGTCCCCAGCACTGCTTCCTGTACACCCTCAGACTTCAAGGATGCTTTGCATTAGGGCGTTTTTCAGCTTTGGCCTCTTTCTAACACAAAAAGCCCCAGGGCTGTTATCTCCTTGTGGTATTTTCAGCCCAGCCTGCGGTGCATCACCAACTTTAATTTTAATTAAGGCAAACCTCAGCGCCATCAGCTGACTTGCTTATGTCTCACCTCTGGTTTCACCCGCTGTCTTCTCCTCCCCTGTGGCGAGAGGGGCATTCAGTCTTGATGTGAGGCAGCAAAAACAAGACTTCTTCCCTCCTCGACTCATTAATTAAAGCCAGAAAATGAGCTCTTTTCTTGCAATCTGAAGTGATCGCATAAATAGCATTGACAGAACAGAATTAACATCTGAAAAAAGTCCTGCAGGGTCAGCACGTCGGGGGTGGGAGGAGGGCATTAAAAACAAGATGCTGCTCTGCTCATCCCCAGCACAGAGCTCAGCCTGGACATGGAAGAAGTCACAGAGTGCAGGCAGTGCAAGTTCTCTACTTTCTACAGCCAAACCTGGAAGGTAAATGGAGGAACTGATCTGAGTGGGGTGGCTGCTCCTTCTCAAGACCATGTACAGCCCTTCCGTGGGGGAAGAGCTGGGTTTAGCCATGTGGACCTGGACCGTTTCAACCCAAGGAGTGGAATGCGGACCATCTCAGCCCCAAGGAGTGTGAAACACAGTGGGAATGCCAGCAATCAGTGCCAGGGAAAAGCGAGAGGACTGGGAGAAGGTCCTGGTCTCCTCCCAGGTCTTCATCTCCATCACCACCCACGCCATCACAACCGTTGCTCCTCATCACCTTATCAGAAATTAGCAAAACTCCAGAGTGCATCTGCATGCAGAGTGCCAGGATCCCTTGTGATCAATGGGGTTTTTTTGGTGTGTTTTGCATCCTCCTGTGCTGGGAGGTGTTTGCAGGCAGCCCCATGCAGGGCTTGCCCTTATTCCTGGGCACAGTTCTAACCTGGTCCTTGCTTTGCACATGGTTGTATTGGCTGAGACATGATGGGAACGCTCTGGAAACGCTGCACTGTGGTCACTTGAGATCTCTGCATCATGAGGACATGCAAAAATATCTGCCTCCACCCTGAGAGGGCACTTGAAATGGCCCCTGCTGCTCATCACAAACTGCCAGCAGTTAATCCCTTTGCCTCAGTGCATTTGTGGTTACGTTCCAAAAGCAAATTCATCAGGACTCATTCATCTGAATGAGTGTCCGTGGGGATGCTTGCAGACTGCATCCATCCTGAAACAGTATGGGAAGAAGGGGAGAGCAACTCCCCTCACTGGGAAACCACAGTGCCTGCTGACTGTCCTGGCAGGAACATGGGGATGTGTAAGGAGGAGAGCTCTGCTCCTTGCTGAAAGGGGCACTGTCAGGAGCTGCAGTGAAGGCAACAGGCTTAGTTTTGTGCAAGATACTCTTTAGGGCAAACCCAAATATCACAGCTGGCCTGAAGTGATTTGCTTAACATTTTCCTTCCTTCTTATGACTTGTCTGCACATGCAGAGCTAAATCCAGAGCTGCTGCAAGCCCAGTAAAACCCACAGCATCAGCACGACACCATGCTGGAGGGCTTCAAACCCTCACCCAGAGAGTTTGTGGAGTCCCAGCTGGACACTTCCCCATACTGCTGTTGCAGGGGTTTGGCCTTAAGCATTTGCAGAGGTCCCTTCCAACCTCCCTTCCAGGAGGTGAGTTCAGTGTCACAACATGTGCCATCACCCCAGTATCCAGTCTGAGGCATAAGGCTTGCAAAACTCACTGTCACTGTTCCCATAAACCAAAACGTATGGGTTTTTTTTTTCTCTGTGCTACATCTCTCCCATCAAAACAACGCCTGAACTTCTGTGCTATATCACCATAAAAATCTTGACAGCTGTTCTAGCAAACAGCCTGGAGTGCCGTGGTCTTTTATGAGTATTAATTATGTTAAGCAAAGCAGATCTCACAATTACATTGTCTGTGGGAGCAGCAAACTTCTACCATCCGTCTCCCTGAGCAAGGAGGAGAAGGGCTGTTTGCTGCCCTGCTTTCAAAGTGGTGGGGGCTGCAGCTGCTGTTAGGGAGAACACGATGACAGCCCAGAGAAGCTCCTCGTTCCTCCTGCTGTTACCACAAACAACTTTCTTGATGTGCTTGACATGTCATCAAGTGCTCCTGAGCGGCCTCTTCTTTTGAATAATAATAAAGAACCACATTGCTGGTCTAGTCTGGCTGTGATATGAGCTACCAACAGTTTTGGAAAGCCAGGATCTACATGTGGATCCAAGCTGGGAGAGGTTAGATGGGGAAAAAAAAATGGGATGGCTGGCAGCCGTTGTGCTGGGAAGGAGGGTTTGGGATTGTTGACTAAAAGAAAGGGAAGGTAGAAATGTTGCTTTTTTGGTTTGGGGGGAACTGGTGGGCTTGCTGTGGTGTGCAGAAGGAAAGAATTTGGTGACTGTTGGTGGCAATTTTGAGATCATCCACCGCTGCCTCCTCTTCCTCTGACTTAGCCAAGATACTGTGGTTTTTCCCTTTCCCAGCCCCTCTGAGAGAAGGGCAGCATCCTAAGGAGGTCCTGTGAGATGCAGAGGTCCTTGACAGGTCCTTTTTGGATCAGTAGGTCAAGAGGTCAGAGGTGCAAGTTTTACTGATGTTTTATCACCATTATGCAGAGACAACCTGTGTCCTTGGCTGAGACAGGCAGATCCAACCCCGAAGCAAGTGATCTGGGGAGCTCAGAGGTGATGCTTTCAGTACATCCTTCTCATCAGCCTCCCCTTTGTATCACAGCCACTCCTGCATCCTGGGCTGGCTGCTGGAGGGCTGGAAGATTTCACCCACACCGAGTTGGCTGTGGCACTGTAGATCCACTGTGGTTACACAGCAGGAGAGATCTGTTTGGAAATGCATGTCAGTGTTGGATCAGCACTGGATGCTCAAATGATGTGATTAACAGGCAGCTGCGGGGCAGCAACAGAGAAAACGATCTTCCTCTTTCCTCGTCACCCTAATTTTCAGAGGAAGTGTTTTAAATGTAGGGTTTTTTTCTCCAGGAGAGCAGAGCAGGCTGTTGTTTGGAGCCTGCCCATCCTCACATCCCTGACACTGGCAGGCGACCAGAGTGTCCCATTAGAGAGATGCAGGCGCTTACTGCAGCTTTAAATACAGCCAGCTGCAATTATTGGCCTTTCCATTGCGTTTGACCCAGACTTTTAGCAGCAGAAAATGAGCCTACCTGATGGAGGAGCCTGCTCGGATGTCATAACGCAGCAGCATCCATCAGGCTTCGTGAAGCAGAGAATTAACATCTGTTGGAACTGCAGCAGCAGCACAGCCAGACACCCTGAAGACATGGGGAGAAATGACAGTTTCGAGGGGTTGCTGGAAAACAACGCAGCTGAGCGCACAGCCATTGCAAAGGAGTCTTCCTGCAAGACCAAAACAGGGTTAGGTCCCTCCTTGCACTTCCCAGATCAAATAAGGAGGGGTAATTGCAGTGAGAAAACGGGCTGCTTCATCGATACCATCGAGCGCTGTGTTTATCAGCAGATAACATGCAAAGCAGGGGTCTTAAGAACAATAAAATATATTTGATCCCCTGGTATTTATGGCCTTGAGGATGAGTGAGAAAGCCTCGTGTGGCTTGGGATGAGGCCTGGGTGTGCCAGCAGAGGCTGACCTGCTTGCAACTGTGATACAAGGTTTACAAAGAAATGCCAAATCCTGATGCAGGCATTATCAGGGACTTATTCCTCGGGCTGTGGTACTGGCTTTGTTAACTTGAATGTGAAGGAGCTGATGTAAAACTGAAGAGGCATTTATTAAAGGGGGGGGAGGTCACTTAAACATGGTGAAAATTCAGGCAACACCCCTCACCACTCATCTTTCAAGTGCATCCCATGCACTAGGAGAACAGGTTAAAAAAATCATGGCCAGCCAAGGAGAGACATTTTGGAGCAGTAATTTAAGCCACCGGGCACTCAAATGTGTTCTTGTTTCCTTGATACTTTGTGTGTGACCACCCCCAGTTTGCTGGCTCTGATGTTAATTCATGAAATCATAGAATCATACAAATCACAGAAGGTTGGTTGGTTTAGGAGGGTCCTCAAAGCCCACCAGCCCCAACCCCTGCCACGGGTAGGGATACCTCCCACAGATCAGGCTGCCCTCAGCCCCATCCAGCCTGGGCACTGCCAGGGATGGGGCAGCCACGGCTTCTCTGGGCAGCCTGTTGAGTCTTATTTGGGAGATGAATTGCTATGGTGAACCCATAAATCACCTGTAGCTTCCAGCTCTGGGGCTCAGGATGCAGGATGAGTGGCTCTGGTCCTGTCCATCAGCTGTTACACCAGGTTACAGCAGCAATGCTTGTCCTCGCGGTCTTGAAGCCAAACCTGGGGATAAAGTGGCACCAAATGAATACGCAGCAAAAAAAAAAAAAGGGGAGATAAACCAAACTTCATTAAGTTAAATATAAAAAATCATGAGGAACGTGTATTCATTTCTACAATGTGCCTGTGTTCCCACAGGTCCCAACTGCTTCGCAGGAACCACCATCATCCCCGCGGGCATCGAGGTGAAGGTGGACGACTGCAACATCTGCCACTGCCACAACGGGGACTGGTGGAAGCCGGCGCAGTGCTCCAAGCGCGAGTGCCAGGGCAAGCAGGCTCTGTAGCTGCAGAACCCCTCACTGCCACCTCGAGCACGGCTCCAACGCGTCCCAGCTCCTCCAGCTGCTGCAGGGTCACCACCGAGGCCACCGGGCACTCCTGGAGGGACAGGGTTTCCCTCCCTGCCCCTCACGCTTTCGGCCCCACGTACCCAGCACCTACGTAGCTGCTCTGCTTTCGTGATTATCGGCGCTCAGGAGAGATTCCGTGGTGAGATGTGGAGAGGGAAAAGGAGAGGAAATGCAACGTCCTGCGCCAAGCTCTTGGACTGGCGATGGCTGCGAGGCGCCGCTTCGCTCACCGCTCTCACTTCCGACGGCGCGGATCGCGGTTTTCCACAGTCATTTCTTTTGCTGTTGTGATTTATTTATGATAACTTTTTTAAGCCCAAGCTGGGACGGTCGGGGCAATACAGCTATGAGCGAAGCAGCGGGCGGTCTCCGTGGTGTCTGTGGGGGGGCACTAAGGACAGGAGGGGGCATGGGCTGAGCCCAACGCTGGGTCCGTGCTGACCTTCCCCACCGCGTGGGGACAGCGATGCTGAGGGTGCCAACGTGGGCACCATGAGTTTGTGTCCTCGCGAGGACATCGAGAGCACGGCGTCTTAGCCAGGTCAGAGAGCAGTGGTGTTTCCCCGCAGCTCCTTTGCTGGGGGCCGGCTGCTCTCCGTCTGATTCACTACTACTGTGCCAGTCACCGCTCACACTTAGTTTGCTGCTTTTTGCCCGTTGCCATTAGGACGAGGGTGGTTATTTCAGTCAGCCTTCAGCCCAGCACACCTGCTCTTAGCAGTGACGATGGCAAATCCAACCAGCACATGCATTGAGGCGGTCTCGGTTGGTGCACAGCTGCCTTGGTATTTTCATTTCTTCCCCATTTTGCGTTTCAACAGAGGGCAGATCCTTAGCTGGGGTGGGACGAGCACTGGCGCAGCCGCTGCTGTGCTTGGGCTGAGGATGTGCTCCCTGCTGGCACCACAAACAAAGCCATTGTCACCTTGGTTTGTCAGCTGCTCTCTGCCAATATGACCATCCATCCCTTTTCAAAGTTTTCAAACAATAGCGTGCCTGAAACTAGTGAGGGAAAAACAAACAAAAAAAACCTATTCTGTAAAAAAAAAAAAAAAAAAAAAAAGGGTTCTAGAAACAATATTTGATGTGTAAAAAAATATATTATTAAAAAAAAAAAAATTATTTTGTTAAATATAAAGTGTGTGAACCAGCAAAAAAAAAAAAACCCTCTATATCTGTGGTGTATTTTCCTCTGCTGATTTCCCTGCCCCAGTTCCCCACTTTGCCATCACATCGCCTGCAGCTCCAAGGCCCTCCCCTCAACCTCCACGTGCTCTCTTCTCTTTACTGGTGCCATTTGATATTCAGCCCCACGTCCCAAATGTGGGAATTTGCTTTCCGTTCACAAACTCCTTTTGCTACCTCCAGATGCATCATTATTTACACTGATTAGTAGTTACTCTAATTAATTACAGCTTAATTACTGTAGTTAATGTTTGTACAGTGCTTGGAACAAGTACGGTGCTATACGTGCCGCATATTATTATTTTCTCCATTATTAATTAAACACCATCAACATTCCACGCCGTGCTTCTCCATTATTTTCTGAGAGGCAGGGCAGCACCTGTATTCCTGCCCACAAGGACCTCCCCCAGCTTCCCATGGGAAGGCCATGCTATTTGTGCTCCAGCTATGGCAAGACGGATCACTGATGTCGCTAAAGATTCATCAGTGGGCACCTAGGGTGCATGGAGCAACACCCAACTTCTTCGTCACTGGTACAGCCAGTCTTAAGCCTGACAGAGCATATCCAGAATGGAAATCCCATCCAGCTCTCTGCTTTACACTTTTTTTTTAAAATTATTTTTACACATAACCTGCTTATTTCCAAAGAATTTCAGCCTCATCTCAGTCTTTCTTTCTTTCTTTTTTTTTTTTTTTCTTTGTGTTTTAGTTCATTTCTCCCTTTAATTAATCACAGCTTTGGGCCAGCCAGACCCATTAACTACTATTCTCATTTAGACCTTTCAGAGATGTGGTTGCAGATGCAATTTAATTTGTTGACCCATGATCGATAGCAATTAATGCCATCTCTTTAATCTTGTTGGAAGGTTCATCTTGGGCTTCCAGAGGCTGCTGTCTCAAGGGAAAGGTGTCTGAAACATATGTTTATAGATGGAGGAGCACAACCTTCTCCAGTCCTTCCCATTCCCTGAGGGCTGATGCTCAGGGATAAGTTTCAAAGCATCCAGTTTCAACAGGACTGTGCTCAGAACTGCACACGTTCAATAGGAATGCATGACAGAGGCTGTCAAGGTGGTACGTCTCCAAAGCCCAACATGTGTGTGCTCGTTTTTAAGGACATCACTATGGCAGTGTTGGGTTCCAAAGACAGAGGTGGGTGGGCGAGTGGATGGATGGATGGATGGGTGGAAGGGTGGAAGGGTGGAAGGGTGGATAAGAGGGATGGAGGGAGGGATGGGTGGATGGAGGGATGGATGGATGGATGGATGGGTGGAAGGGTGGAAGGGTGGATGGAGGGATGGACAGATGGATGGGTGGGTGGATGGGTGGAAGGCTGGCTGGCTGGCTGGCTGGCTGGGTGGAAGGCTGGCTGGCTGGCTGGCTGGCTGGCTGGATGGATGGATGGATGGGTGGATGGAGGGATGGACAGATGGATGGGTGGGTGGATGGGTAGAAGGGTGGATGGATGGGTGGCTGGCTGGCTGGCTGGATGGATGGATGGGTGGATGGGTGGAAGGGTGGAAGGGTGGATGGAGGGATGGACAGATGGATGGGTGGGTGGATGGGTAGAAGGGTGGATGGGTGGAAGGGTGGATGGGTGGAAGGCTGGCTGGCTGGCTGGCTGGCTGGCTGGATGGATGGATGGATGGGTGGATGGAGGGATGGACAGATGGAGGGATGGGTGGATGATGACCAAATAATGTCTCTGCTCCGTAACAGCTGAACTGGCCATAGTTAGGGTGGGTGAATTACGCTGGGGAAATACAAGATGCATTCATGAGAGAGCAGAGCAGAGAATTAGGTGGATTAAGGGGAAGGAAGGTGGTAAGGGATAAAGAGCCTGGACTTGGTGGAGGAGAAAGCTGACAAAGGTGGTGTAAACGGGTTGGAAATATGAAGGGCATAGAGAACAGAGTTAGAAATGATATATTCTAGTAGACTTGAATAGAAAAAGAAGAATAAATCTCTTGAAAGGAGTAAGAGAAGAGTGAGGTCTTAGTGGTGATACTTTCAGCATGATAAATAGACATTTACGGAAGGAAAAGAGGGACTGTGAGAATACTTCCCCAGGGAAAAACTGAGGGGGCAGTGGCAGGGAAACCCCAGCTGCAGTGAAACAAGATGAATTCCTCCACACCCCAGTGGAAGCAGTCTTATCTCTACACCACTTGCATGTCATCACCAGGCACAAGTCCTTCTCCCCAAGTAGGAGACATCCAAAACCAAGCTAAACCTGGGCTTTGGGCACCCTCCATCCAGCACCACACGGTACCAGGATGCTGAGCACCAATAGTCCAGCAGCATACAATGGCTGCAGCAGCACATGAACGTGAGTCCTACTTGACACAACCCTCCCCATCCCAGGGGTCCCAGCTGCAGGGAGGCTGTGGCCACTGCAGCAGCAGTCATGGCTCTGCAAAATGCAAAGCCAAAGAGCAAGAGCTCAGCCTCCAGCACAGCAGGAGCCATCACGTGCTTCCCTTCAGCAGCTGTTGAAGTGAAAAGAAAGCCTGCTTGAATGTATAGCGAACGAATGCCTTTTTATATAGCAAAATTATATGTTTTTGCAACAGCAATTCACTATAGAAAATGACAAACTTATCAAAAATAGGCCCAGCATTGTAGCGTAGAAGGTTAGCTCTTAAAACACAGGGAACAGAGCAATAGCATATTGAAAAGAAGAGCCTGCATTCGTATATTAAATTTACCATACATACATTTGCAGATGTACTTCCTACATTTTCTGAAGGGATTGGCCAGTGGGGAGCATCTAAAAGAGCATCTAAATGAACTCTGCTTCCAAACGTTCCTGCCTGCTGACACTGAAATGGGGAGAATACACACTAGCTCTGATATCCCATAAAGTAGCCCAGGGGTCCATAATAATTCACATGAAAATGATTTTTGGCCTTACTGTGCTTTATGTGCATAACCAATGCAAGGCACATGAAAATAACCCATTGCCAGCATGCTTCTGGACACAAGTTATGTAAGCCCAGGAAGAGAAGTAATTAGGCACTCAGAAACTGGAAGGAAAGACCAATCCAGCAAGTCCAGCTCCTCTGGGATAGCACAGGGAGAGGTGGTGCTCTCCTCACCAAGGCTGGGGTGGGCTGACTATGTGCACAAGAGACCTCAGCCTCTGGACGTACAGCCAGCTTGGTGCCATCAATGTTCATTCAACAAGGGAAGGGCAGAGGCTCTTCTCTGAGGGAGCTCATGCCCTCTGATCACACTGCTTCCCCTGGGGCAGTGCTAAGTCACAGCTTGAAACAGTGATTGAGCACCTGGTGGGAAGGCAGGGTTAACCCAGGGGAGCTCAGGTGCATGTAATGTACTGATTGTGATTGGAAGGGGTGGAACCAGGATACACCCCTTCCCAGACCTCATTTAAGGGTTGGCAGTGGAGGTGAGAATATCTCACTGGAGATCTCTGCATTCCTGAGGCCTTCTGAAGGTAAGTAACTTTTCTTACTCTTTTTTTTCCCTCTTCCCCTGTATTTATAGCTGCTGCATTTGAGCTTGTCCTCGTTTGCTGCAGCCTGGGACTTTGTCACCCTGCTGTTATTGCTGTTTCCATCACATTCTAGCATTACACTTAGCAAGCCAGGCAGATACTCATTTACAATGGGTTATCTTTAAAAAAAAAAAAAAAAAAGTAAATAAAAACTATGCATTGGATGGTCACTGAGACCCCCAATACATTCCCAGGGGAAATCCTGGGTTCCCCATGGCTATGTACCATACAGATTATTGAAGAATGGGAGCAAATATGGGATGATGGTCTCTTCATTAAATCCCCTTCAAAAATGGCTTTTTGAATAAACTAGGACAAAATTTTTTGGCAGCTGAGAAAAGAGGAGTAGCAGCATCTACCATAGCATGGCTGCTGCTACTATCAATGCATATTGTTCCTTAGAGGAAAAAGCACTGGAATAGGCTTCCTAGGGAGGTGGTTGGGTTTAAAAACTGTTTGGATGTGGTGCTCAGGGACGTGATTTAGTGGAGGGTTGTTTAGAGTTAGGGTAGTATGGTTAGGTTGTGGTTGGGCTTGATCTTCAAGGTCTTTTCCAATGTGAGTGATTCTATGACTCATGATTCTATGACTCATTAGAGGCATAAGGAATGGAAGTAGATTCATTTACTACTTATTTACAAGGAAAAGGGTGGGCTGTAAACCCAGAGAAGGTGCAAGAACCTTGTCAGTGAAAATTGCTGGGTGTAGTTTGGTCAGGAAAGACCAAAGTAGTACCCAGTGAGATAACAGTCAAGATTCAGGTGTTCCCACTCCCTACAGTGCGAAGGCAGCTGCAAGAATTTGGAGGTATATTGGGATACTGGCATTTCTTTATACCTGACTTTAACACAGCTGCTGAGGTCTTTGTATTGACTCAGAAAGGCCAGAAATGGGACTGGGAAAGAACAAACAAGAGCTGTGTGGATGGTCACCACCTACTGTCACCAGGAAATAATGAAGCTGGCACACTGGCTCAAGTTTAATGCACTGAGGATTTGCCATCTGAGAACATCGCCTGCTGGTTATATCAGAAGCTGTGGCATGCTGGACAAAAGACAATGTGGGCAGCTGCTAAAGCATGGGTGCTGCCCATACAACTGTCTGATACCATCCAGGCATGCTGAGACTGCAATGCTTGCTCTAGGATGAGACCAAAACTGGAAACAACAGCCCATCTTGCTAGAGGACACAGTCCTCTCCAGCAATGGCAGGTCTATTGCATTAGGCCCATCCCTCAATCTGAGGGGGCCCTGACCTGCATCATCACAGCAAGTGGGCTAATACAGCCCTATCTGATGCTGAGAACAAACCAGGTGTATACC